GGTTCTCGACTCTAATCGGAAACAAAAGAGATCTAGACGATGCAACAAAATTCTCATTATTGAAGTCCTGTCTACGAGGGCGAGCCCTCCAGTCGATTCACGGCTTAGCACTGACGGCACACAATTACAGCATTGCACTGGACATTCTCAAGTCGCGATACGATGACAAGGTAACCACACGCCATATTCTTTTCACGCAACTGGCGAACCTCCCTTCCTGCGATGAACAAGGTAAACACCTGCAGTCGCTCTACAATAAGATGTATTCACTTACGCGCCAGTTCTGCTCGTTAGAAGATGACACAAAAGAGATAGCACTCGGAGCAATACTTTTGAACAAATTACCGCGATTCGTACGCAGCATGGTCTACGACAGAGCAGGGCAGTCACATAACCTCACGCCAAGTGAATTACTTCAGATACTGACGGATATCGTACACAAAGAAGCAACGCTTCAGGAAATCGAGCACTACAACAACCAGAAAAACGATCGATATGAAGATACCTATTTCGCATCACACGCTCAACGCAAAAGATCGACTCCGTATACACAGAAGAGATCTCTCCCCTTGAAGACCGCTTCGAATGAAAACATCAGAACGCCTCCGCAAAGGATCAAGACATGTTCTTTCTGCGACTCCAAAGACCACAACGCCATCAAATGCACCACATGGCCGACAGCGCAGCAAAGAATACAAGTGATAAAAGAGAGGAAGCTGTGCTTCAACTGCCTTTCGCCAAAACATCGCACCAAAGAATGTCCATCAACAAGAACTTGTCAACAATGCTCCAAGCGCCACCATACTTCTATCTGCCTGCAAAACCGGCCGCCTCCCCAGCAGACATCGCCGACGACGTATCAACAACGCCGTCCGCCTGAAAACAGAGAAAACAACAGAAGATCAAGAGAAACGTCGCAAGTGCATTTCGTCGAGGGAAGTCCTAACGCGGGCCAGAGCAATCCACAGGTAACTACTGAACAAAACGATATTGTAGCCGTTGCTGAGCATACGCCACCCACCCGACAGCCAATACTACTCATGTGCGCTGACGTTGATGTTTTCAATCCCGAAACGCCAAATGAGCGGATCACCACTATGGCATTCTTCGATAGCGGATCCAGCAGAAGCTATATCACCACGGAACTCGCTAAGGATCTGCACCTTCCACAAGGAAAAATGGAAGAGGTATCAATATATACATTTGCCTCTGGTAGTCCTCTCCCGCTTCTCACAACGCTTCATAGCATTGGGGTTTATACTAGTAAAGGAGGCCAGATTTTGTGCGTAAAAGCCATCGAAACTCTTACAAAAGCATTGAAGATTGTGCAACAAAGATCTGAAAATTGCTCGACTCTTGTCTCTACGAAAAAGAAGCCCTCACTTTTGATTGGCGCAGACTATTTTTGGGATATCCTCTTCTTTGATGACTTCTACATCCAATCGATCGACAATGGTTATCACTTGGTGCACTCGTCTGTGGGCGACATTATCACAGGAAAAACATTGTGGCAAAGCAAGAACATGGAGCACTGCTTTAGCGTAAGCGAATCTCAAGAAGAAAATCTTGATCAACTGGTTACTAAACTATGGCTGCATGATGATGTGCATAATGGTTCCTACAGTGAGGATGACAATAAATGCCTGAGAATCTTCAATGAAACGATCTACTTTGACGAAATCGAGGGTCGCTACGTCGTGCAACTCCCCTTCAAAAAGGATAAAAAAGAGCTTCCCAATAATATTCAGCTCGCATACGCTAGACTCCTCCATAACATGAAGCATTTACAACATTCTCCTGAGACGCTAAGCAAATACCACGCACTGATACAAGATCAACTTCAAAAGGGGATCATTGAAGCAGTGCACGAACCAAAATTACCCAAACTATGTCACTATCTCCCGCACCATGCCGTAATTTCGGAGGAAAAACGAACCACTAAACTACGATGCGTCTACGATGGTTCCTCCAAATCAAAAGGAAACCCAAGTTTGAATGACCTACTCTACAGGGGTCCGGTGTTTCTTCCTGACATTACAGGAATTTTACTCAGAATACGATTACCAAAGATTCTCATCTC